CTTTTCATCTTGTGCTCATCCCCACCTGCTCTTTACCGATGCAGGTTAAGTGACAGCAGGGTGACGAGGAAGAGACGAGTTGGGTCGGTCTAATTACTTATGCATTTTTATTGCTTCCGTTGAACTTGAATAAGTTTGTTGCACGTTATGTTTTGTGCAAACTATTTTCAAACCTGGTGTGTTGGTTTTTGAATCTTATGAACCTTGGTTGTTATGGGATTGATGTTTGGATATTTATTTCATGAGTTGATGTTGGTTAATGAAAACCGATTGTGAAAACCGGGTAATGAATTCCCGTAGGCCCATATAAGACTTGGGTTATGAAAATGTTGTTTAACACCCACTAAATTTTCGAAAATGAGTTTGAAAATTTTATACTGGTTTTTGAAAAATCCGGAATTTCGGTAAAATCAAAGTGGAGTGTTACAGTTCCCGTATCAGAGCCAGTCTGCGGTTCTGTAGACTGGCGAGTATGTGATTGTATTTAGACCTTGTGTTATGACCACTCGTCTCCGTCACTCCGCGCTGCTTAAGGTATGTTTTGTATTAATGAAAATACTTTTGATATAATTAATGCACTTGTAGTAATGAAACTACTCGTGATGAACTTGTGTGTTACTTGTTATCTATGGGGCTTAGGATCTAACCACCTTGATTTCATCGAACTCTAGTGTTTATGGCGAACTCTAGACTTCAGTATATAGTGATTGTTCTGTTTGTTCTTGTGCTTAACCTCATTCGACTTATTCAATGTAGAAGTATGAATACTCGCTACCGTAACCGTCAGCCATCCCCATCTCCTTCTCCTCCTCGTCGTCAGCACCAGGCCCCTCCGGCCATGGACCTCACTCAGCTTATTGTTCAGTTTCAGCGCATGAATGCGCCAAATTTCTCAGGGACTGAGAAACCCACAGCAGTGCTTGAGTGGATGAAGGAGCTGGACAAAATCTTTGCTGTACTCCCCCTCCCCGACCGTCAGCGCGTGTCTCTTGCGGCATATCAGATGAAGGAAGACGCCTCAGACTGGTGGATTGAGCTTTGGGGCCGGAGGCCCGAGGCGGAGCTTCATGCTCTCACTTGGGAGCAAATGAAAGTGATGGTACGCAATAAGTTCCTTCCCCAGAGCTTTTGGGACAGAATGGAGCACGAATTCTATCACTTGCAGCAAGGCAGCTCCTCGGTGGATGAGTACATCCGCACTTTCACCCGTATG